GAGATATTTTAAAATGACATTTTAGGACAGTATTTATGGGCCTGGATATGTAATCACAATATAATGCTCAAAGAAAAATCAGTTCACAAAATATAATGAGTGTACATTATAACCACAATTTTATAAAAAGAAAAATATGTAAACAATTAGATGGAAAAACATGAAAATGTACTGGCTAAAGATCATTTAAATTTTCTTCTTTATACTTTTCTATGTTTTCCAAAATTTTCTAAAATAAGTGTCATTTTTATGAACAGAGGAGTAGCACTCTCTTTTTTTAAAATCCTCACTGAGGACATTTTTGCATCTATGTTCAGAGTGGGAGGGAGAGAAGGAGGAAGAGAGAGAGAGAGAAACATCAAGTGAGAGAGATGCATCGACTGGTTGGGGCTCTGCTGCCCGCACAGCCCCAACTGAGGCCCACCTGTCTGCCTGCCACCGAGCAGCCCGCACAACCCCAACTGGGGCCCACCTGTCCGCCGGCCACCGAGCAGCCCGCACAGCCCCAACTGGGGCCCACCTGTCCACCTGCCACCGAGGTATGTGCCCTTAGCGGGAACCGAACCCGGACTCTCTGGTCCACGGGCCGACGCTCTAACCGCTGAGCCAAGCAGGCCAGGGCGGGAGTGGCATTCTCAAAAGGAGAACTGAAGTCCTGGAGAAGGGGGTCTGCGCTCCCGTCCCTGCAGGCGGCGGGGGTTCTGCTCCTGCTGACTCACGCGTGGTTTGTAAGAGCACCCAGAGTACGTGGAGTGTGTGTAAGACAGATCCTGGACATTATAAACTCAGTCTCTGGGTCCTTGTGTTTCCTGCCTGAAATACTTTTTGACTATGGATTCCCTTTTCTGTGAAGCACCAAATGATAAAAACTCAGTGTCAAAGAGTAAATGGAATGTTCTTTTTACCCTAAAGCGATTTTCCCTTTTCAAATTGTTTTCCCCAAATTTTCCTTAACTTTTGTGGAGGAGTGTGCACTGTCCTCGTTCTCAGGACATCACGTCTTTTCCTTGGGCACCACCTGTCCGCCCAGGCTCCTCTCAGCGCCTGCTTCCCGTGCCCGACTTTCTCCTTCCTTTCTTCCTTCCTCTAGGTAATCCTCCGGAAGGTAGTTTTAGAGAGAGTGGAAGGGACGGAGGGAGGAGGACGAGGACGAGGACGAGGACGAGGAGGAACAGGAGGAGAGAGCGAGAGCGAGAGCGAGAGAGAGAGAGAGAGAGAGACATCGATGTGAGAGAGACACATCGATTGGTTGCCTCCTACACGCGTATTGACTGGGGACAGGGATTCAACCTGCAACCCAGGTACAGGGCCCTTGACTGGGAATCCAACCCATGACTCTTTGGTGCATGGGCTGGAACCACACTGGCCAGGCACAGGGCTTTCACCTTTAGCACACACATTACCCGCCCCAGATTTGAGTAGTCTACAGAAGACGGGCTGATACAGAACAGCTTGATCTATCAGTCAACAGTCAGCGAGTAAAGCCTGTGTTGACACAATCTCAGCCTAATGGCCGCCCCTTTACAGATTGCTAGCACATCCCACAGATGTCTGAGTGTCCCAGCAGGGCGGGCAAACGAGGGCTGGCCACAGCTGCCTGGCCAGTTCTCAGCAAGCCTGGCAGCTCTTTCCAGGTCCCTGGCTGAGAGCTCCTGGTTTGCTTAAGGTGTCAGTCCACATCCCGAGCTCACAGGACTGGCCCAATGTCAGCAATCCCCTTTCCTCATGGCAGGAGAACCAGGCCCTCTAGGCGATTCCAAATGGGAGAGGTGGCCCCCAGAAGCCCTGCTGGAGCCTGTCACCTGGCCCGCTCCCACCTCTGTGCCTCTCTCACAGGACAACCTCTCTGCAGCTGAACTCTTGGGCTGCACAGGCGGCACACCTGTCCGCCTGCCTCCTGCACGGCTCAGCTTGCATCTGCCGATGGCCCGGCCAATTCTCCCTACTTGTTGGTCATGTCACATAGGTACTTTCCTGATAGAACTGCATATTGCCTGAGTCCCTAACGAGTAAGAAAAAGCGTAAGGCTATAGGTATTCTTTTCCTGAGGAAAGAACAGATTCACACTTTTTAGAAGCTGATACTGGTTCTCAGCGAGGAGCACCAACTCTTGTTGGGAAATGCCCTGGAGAGCTTCCAGGCAGGATGGAGAAGAGTGTGTGTTTGCTGGGGGAGCAGGTGGGCCCTTGGGAAGAGGGCTGAGTCGGGGGGGTACTCAAACGCTGACTGATGAGGCTGGGGGCACAGATGGTGCTGGGGCTGTGTGTGGAGGGCTCTGAGCCTGCCTATGGCTGGGGCTGGCTGTGGGTCATGTGCTGCAAAGGCTCCTGCCCTCCTCCTCCCACAGAATCTGGAATAAAGTCTACATCCGTACTAGTGCTTTTGTGTAAATGATGCTTTGGGGGCACAAATGGGACCTCAGGATGATAGTGAGTATTTTGGCTACATTTTCCCTCCACATACTGCTGACACCTCTCTGAGTTCACACTATTACTTTTTATTACCTTTGCAACCCAAACAACTGCTTAATACAATTATCTTTTCCCTCTCTCTATGGTAACAGACCTCCCTTTCATTCTCATGAGTTGTGAACTGCTTCTTTCCTCCCTCCCTCCTTCTATCCTTCCTTCCTCCTTCCTTTTCCCCTCCTTCCCTCCTTCTCTCCATCCCACCATGTTAGACACTCTCCTCTGAGCACCTAAAACACAAAGCCTGGAGGGGCTTCTGCAGTTGGCTGCACACATGCCGGCCATGGGCCCCTTTCTGCTTCTGTCCCCTGGGTCCCCATCTGTGGAGCTTCCACCTGGGAGCCAGCTCTGTGGAACTAATTGCACTGATTTCTTCTGAAGCCTCCAGCTGTTCCCCTGCAGCTCAGTGCCCTGTCCAGGGCCCAGGGCACAGTCCCTTTTCTGCAGGCTCCCATGCGGCCAGCCTGTCCGCTTCTCCCTCCATCTGGATCTGGCTCTTCGTCCCAGCACTGCTCCTCTCCTCCGTGCGCGTGGCTTCCCTCTGCTACTCACAGCCCAGGCTCCCTGCCCTTTTTTTTTCTTTATTAATTTTTAGAGAGAGAGGAAGGGAGAGGAGAGAGAGATAGAAACATCAATGAGAGAGAACATCGACTGGCCACCTCCTGCATGCCCCCCACTGGGGATCGGGTCCACAACCTGGGCATGTGCCCTGACCGGGAATCGAACCAGTGACCTCTTGGTGCAGGGGTCGACGCTCATCCACTGAGCCACACTGGCTGGGTACCAGGCTCCCTTTTCCTTCTTCCTTCCCTGCAGTGACCTCTCACGCACCCAGAAAGCCAGCTTCCTCCCTCTGATGACTCTTCTCCTTGAGGTCCTTAACAATGTCATTGTGGAATGTCCTTGAGAGGTTCCTCTATTTCTGCACCCCTCCTTTATTGTCTGGCTAGTTGACACCAACACGCACCTTTTTTTCTCTCCCAAGATTTGCACCAAATAGGTTTCCCACCAAAGCCACAGCCCTGAAGTGAAGGGTATCTAGTGACTAAAACCATGTGTGAGCGTCACACCCACTGGGACGACTGTAATATAAAACGAACAAGCAGAAAATAACAAATGTTGGTGCAGATGTGGAGAAACAAACCCCTGTGCGTCTTTGCAGGGCACTAAAATGCTGTGGCCTCTATGGAAACCAGTGTGGCGGTTCCTCAAAAAGTTGAACACAGACTTCCTGTGTGATCCAGCAATTCCACTGCTAGGCTACATCCCACGGACGGAAGGCAGGACTCAAACACTCGCATGCCTGTTCAAAGCAGCACCATTCACAACAAGCAGAGATAAAACGAGCCGATGTGTCACAGAAAAATAAATAAAACGTGGCCTCTCCATACAATGGAATTTTACTCAGCCACAAGAAGGAAGGAAATAATGACCCTGCTACAAGGTGGATGAACCCTGAAGACATGCTAAATGAAATAAGCCAAACACTAAAGGACCAATACTGCATGATTCCACTCACACAAGGTACCTAGAATAGACAGACTCATAGAGACAGAAAATACAACAAAGGCTTCAGGCTGGGGCATTTGTGTTTAACAAGAAGAGTTTCAGTTTGAAATAATGAACACGTTCTAAGGCTGGACGGTGGTGACGGCTGCACACCACTGCACTGCACTGTGTCCCCTCCTTGACTCCAACATGGGCAGGCCACTTTCTGGACATGTCTCCTGCCTCTGGGGGTGTGCACTTCCAAGCCCCAGGGGAAGGGAGTGACTACCCTATGGTGGCAGGAACTGGCTCTGTGGCCGTAACTGGAGCATGAAGGAGGTTGCAGTGAGGGGGTCTCTAGGAGGGACTGCTTGCTCTTCCAACAGTGGCTCCAGGAGTCACCCACTGCCCCATGGATTCTGTCATTTTTTAAATCCCAGATGGCTGGTGAGCCCCTGGTTTTGTATACACAGACCATAGAAACAGGACTTAGGTTTGCAGGTGACGGGGCTCCAACCCCATTATAGTCAACAAACCTAAACAGCATTTTAGAGCCTCCTGTCTGCTTCCAAGTGGCACCTGGACAAGAGGTGGCTTCACCTTGCTTCAGTCTTCTCAGAGGAAGGGACCTATGCTCCCCACAGGAGGTGGCTGGCCCCTTCCTGCATTTTCCCCAAAGGAGTATCTGACAAACGCAGTGCATGGCTCTATGCTTCAATCCCCCAAGCACCGTCATAATATCCAGTGGTGTCTGACCTCCAAGTCACTCGATCGGGCAAAAACTATGACTAATCTTGCTGAACTCTTTCCTGCTCATTGGCATGCCAGGGGAACTAAGCAGAGCTGTGAGGACCAGCCTACTTCTGGAGACTCCTCATGGAGTTCTCGTGCACTGTGGGCACACTCGGAACGCTGGAGCAAACATCAGCTGTGACTGTTACAGCCACCAAGCTCTGCTGGGTGACACACCAACACCTTCCTAGCCTTGGACGTGGGAGGACTGCTGTGGGTGGGTGTGGGCAGAGGGCAGGGCTGGGTGCTCACCTTCACCCTGTCCATGCAGGCTTCCATCTTGAGTTGCTCCACGGCCTTGCGGGCCTGTGAGATGCTGGTGGTGCTGTTACTGGACATGCCCTCCTTTATCCCGCAGCCCTGAAACGGACAAAGAGAAAGGGCTGCAGGTGCTGCTTTCCAAAGGCGAGGCACAGCCCTGTCTGCCGCTGACCTTTGGTTTGTCCAGCAGAGCCTTTGGGAGACACTGTGTTGGGGTAAGAGGAGTGGCCCGCTGGAGTGACTGTGCATTTGTTTGGAAAGACTCTCAGCTTGGGAGAGGGAGCAGCAGGTCACAGATGGTCCCAGTCACTCTGCTGCCCCCATGACTGTTAGTAATACCTTATCATTTGTACAGCGATTTCTTAGAAATAAGTCATTCATTCCTCCAGCAGCCCATGAAATTGGAAAAAAATTACGTTTTGTTTTGTAAGTAGAGAAAATTCAAAACTCAGAGAAATTAAGCCAATAGTGAAAGGTCCCATAGCCCACATTTGTGAGCCCAGAACCCAAACTCACAGCTTGGAAGCCGAGCTCAGGGGTCTGCCCACCGGCTCAGGCAGCCTCGCCCAGCAATCTGCAACCCTAAGCACACGTTATCCACGAATAAAAGTGCTTTATTATTCATTTAAAATTTGCTATCAGTCCAAAAGTCTACAGATATTATATTGGGAGTTTGTTTTTAAACCACGAAGTGAGTGTAGTTTAAAAACAAATTCATTGTGCAGGCACACACACGCACAGACTTGCTTTTTCAGAAGGGCAAACAACTTCTTGACAAGCATGTGATGACGCCACATGACCAAGATGTTATCTGTTCCACAAGAAGGAACATGCCCACAGAATGCAAAAGCACTCAGAGGAGGCCTCGTCACCCAGCCTGAGCACTGGGGACGGGTCACACAGGGGACATGACTCCCAAGGACACACAGGGAGGTCTGAGGAGGCTCGGCCAGTGCCTCGGTGTGCAAGCCACCTGGGTTTGCTCCCGCACATGCCAATTCTCTGGCCCAGAGGAGGCATGACGGCAGCTGCATTTGTCCAGACAACTTAAGAAAAGAGTTTCTTATTATAAGACACAGACCTGCCGCCTAAGCCCGAGTTTAATAGGTGCGTCTTCTGTCCTGGCTCGGGACTTCCACTCAACAGGAAGAGAAGAGTCAGGAGGAGTTGGGGGTTTGAATGGAGGAAAAGCAGCCCTTACCCACCACTCACCGTACAGAAGTGTGCTAGCGTGTCCAGGAGCGAGTGTCTCTGTGCGCCGTGTGCCGTGTGCCGTGCCTGCGAGGCTGCGCTCTGCGGAAGTCTGCGTGATGTGCGTCGGCGTCCCTGTGCGTGCTCGTGCCCGTGGGACTGTCGTCCGCGGAGGTGTGCGTGCTCGTGCCCATGGGACTGTCCTCCGCGGAAGTGTGCGTGATGTGCGTCAGCATCCATGTGCGTGCTCGTGCCCGTGGGACTGTCCTCCGCAGAAGTGTGCGTGCTCGTGCCCGTGGGACTGGCCTCCATGGAAGTGTGCGTGACGTGCATCTGCATCTGTGTGTCGTGATTCTGGGGACTGTCCTCTGCGGAGGTGTGCGTGATGTGCATCTGCGTCCGTGTGCGTGCTCGTGCATGTGGGATTGTCCTCCGCGGGTGTGCCTGCTCGTCCCCGTGGGACTGTCCTCCGAGGAAGTGTGCATGATGTGCGTCTGCGTCCGTGTGTCGTGATCCTGGGGGCTGTCCTCTGTGCAGGTGTGTCGTTCTTGTGGGGCTGTCCTCTGCAGAGTTGTGCGTGATCCTGGGGGCTGTCCTCTGCCCCCAGGTGTCTGTGATGTGCGTCTGCGTCTGTGTGTCGTGGATCCTGTGGGGCTGTGCTCTACGGAGGAGTGCGTGACGTGCATCTGCATCCGTGTGTCATGATCCAGTGTGGCTGTCCTCTGCGGAGGTGTGCGTGATGTGCGTCTGTGTCCCTGTGCACGCTCGTGGCTGTGGGACTGTCCTCCGCGGAAGTGTGCGTGATGTGTGTCGGTGTCCTTGTGCACGCTCGTGGCTGTGGGACTGTCCTCCGCGGAAGTGTGCGTGATGTGTGTCGGTGTCCTTGTGCACGCTCGTGGCTGTGGGACTGTCCTCCGCGGAAGTGTGCGTGATGTGTGTCGGTGTCCTTGTGAGTGCTCGTGCCTGTGGGACTGTCCTCCGCGGAAGTGTGCGTGATGTGTGTCGGTGTCCTTGTGAGTGCTCGTGCCTGTGGGACTGTCCTCCGCGGAAGTGTGCGTGATGTGTGTCGGTGTCCTTGTGAGTGCTCGTGCCTGTGGGACTGTCCTCCGCGGAAGTGTGCGTGATGTGTGTCGGTGTCCTTGTGCGTGTTCGTGCCTGTGGGACTGTCCTCCGCGGAAGTGTGCGTGATGTGTGTCGGTGTCCTTGTGAGTGCTCGTGCCTGTGGGACTGTCCTCCGCGGAAGTGTGCGTGATGTGTGTCGGTGTCCTTGTGCGTGTTCGTGCCTGTGGGACTGTCCTCCGCGGAAGTGTGCGTGATGTGCATCGGCGTCCCTGTGCGTGCTCGCGCCTGTGGGACTGTCCTCCGTGGAAGTGAGCCAGTGTCCTTGTGCGTGTTCGTGCCTGTGGGACTGTCCTCCGCGGAAGTGAGCCAGTGTCCTTGTGCGTGTTCGTGTCTGTGGGACTGTCCTCCGCGGAAGTGTGCGTGATGTGTGTCGGTGTCCTTGTGCGTGTTCGTGCCTGTGGGACTGTGCTCCGCGGAAGTGTGCGTGATGTGTGTCGGTGTCCTTGTGAGTGCTCGTGCCTGTGGGACTGTCCTCCGCGGAAGTGTGCGTGATGTGTGTCGGTGTCCTTGTGCACGCTCGTGGCTGTGGGACTGTCCTCCGCGGAAGTGTGCGTGATGTGTGTCGGTGTCCTTGTGCACGCTCGTGGCTGTGGGACTGTCCTCCGCGGAAGTGTGCATGATGTGTGTCGGTGTCCTTGTGCACGCTCGTGGCTGTGGGACTGTCCTCCGCGGAAGTGTGCGTGATGTGTGTCGGTGTCCTTGTGAGTGCTCGTGCCTGTGGGACTGTCCTCCGCGGAAGTGTGCGTGATGTGTGTCGGTGTCCTTGTGAGTGCTCGTGCCTGTGGGACTGTCCTCCGCCGAAGTGTGCGTGATGTGTGTCGGTGTCCTTGTGCACGCTCGTGGCTGTGGGACTGTCCTCCGCGGAAGTGTGCGTGATGTGTGTCGGTGTCCTTGTGAGTGCTCGTGCCTGTGGGACTGTCCTCCGCGGAAGTGTGCGTGATGTGTGTCGGTGTCCTTGTGAGTGTTCGTGCCTGTGGGACTGTGCTCCGCGGAAGTGTGCGTGATGTGTGTCGGTGTCCTTGTGAGTGCTCGTGCCTGTGGGACTGTCCTCCGCGGAAGTGTGCGTGATGTGTGTCGGTGTCCTTGTGAGTGCTCGTGCCTGTGGGACTGTCCTCCGCGGAAGTGTGCGTGATGTGTGTCGGTGTCCTTGTGAGTGCTCGTGCCTGTGGGACTGTGCTCCGCGGAAGTGTGCGTGATGTGTGTCGGTGTCCTTGTGAGTGCTCGTGCCTGTGGGACTGTCCTCCGCCGAAGTGTGCGTGATGTGTGTCGGTGTCCTTGTGCGTGTTCGTGCCTGTGGGACTGTCCTCCGCCGAAGTGTGCGTGATGTGTGTCGGTGTCCTTGTGCGTGTTCGTGCCTGTGGGACTGTCCTCCGCCGAAGTGTGCGTGATGTGTGTCGGTGTCCTTGTGCGTGTTCGTGCCTGTGGGACTGTCCTCCGCCGAAGTGTGCGTGATGTGTGTCGGTGTCCTTGTGAGTGCTCGTGTCTGTGGGACTGTCCTCCGCGGAAGTGTGCGTGATGTGTGTCGGTGTCCTTGTGCGTGTTCGTGCCTGTGGGACTGTCCTCCGCCGAAGTGTGCGTGATGTGTGTCGGTGTCCTTGTGCGTGTTCGCGCCTGTGAGACTGTACTCCGCCGAAGTGTGCGTGATGTGCGTCTGCGTCCCTGTGCACGCTCACTAACGGAGGGAGGAGACCCAACCTCGTTCTCAGCCTTCCTTGCCTGACGCAAGTGAAAAGGACCCTACAATCACGGCCTCAGATCGTGGCCTCCTGTCCCATTCCAGCATCCACCCTTCTCTTCCCTTGTCACCGACTTTGGGCTGTTAGGAGTGGGGGAGGTCAGAGACCATAAGGATGGGTGAGAAGGGTGCTGAGCCAGGATCAGCAGGAGGGAAGAACAGACAGCCACAGGGGAAGGGCAGAGAGGAGGGGGGCTGTGCACTGTGTGGGAGTGTGTGTGTGCATGGGTGTGTGTGTGAGAGAAAGTGGGGGTGTGCATGACAGCGCGAGTGTGGGTATGAGTGTGAATGTGTGCAAGAGTGTGTGTACATGAGGGTGGGTGTGAGTGTAGTGTCAGTGTAGAGAAAATGTTACCAGCGGGACCAGAGCCTGGTCTTACCCGGGACCCACGGGACTGGCTGGCCCTGACTTAGCAGTTTCATCTCCTTTCCTATAGAAGAGAAGCATGTGTCCCCAGTACCTCCTTTCCACACCCAGAATGGCTGAGCTGCGCTCTCCTCTGTGTCCGGGTGGGGGTAGGGCCCCAGCACCTGGAGTGAAACTCACGGACCCTCAGATATCTCACATCCTCTGTTAGTCCTTCCGTCCCCACTACCTGTGTCCCTGCTCAGGCACTGCCCTCTGACCACTGCCTTGGATCCTCCTCTTCAGCCTTGAGGTACCGTGTCTCTCCATACTGTCACCTTAATTACAGCCTTTCCGAGCTCTGGTCACCTCCGCAGGCAGCCTTAATGACAGGACCCAGCACGTGCTCCCAAGACCTGTCTTCTTGCCTTTGTCCCTAAAACCTGACACTGTGCCATCCAGCTCTGCCCCCTCCCTCACACTGAAGGACGCTAAGTGTGGCTGGAGAAACCCCCACGCTGGGGCTGGTGCCCTGACAGCCACAGGCCAGCCTCAGCGGGTCCTCACAGTGGCCGGACCATCTCCCCAGTCGCCAGTCACCTCCCTTCCCTCCTGACGGGTTCAGTCTTCCATTTCCGTCGTTTCTCTCCACCTCTGGCCTCGCATCTGGAGTGGATGATCTCACTTCCACTGAATACACTGGGGCTGCTCAGGCAGAACCTCATTAGCCCCTGTCCCTGACCTCTGTGCCCACCGCACCTTGTCCCCACTCAGCATGGCAGCCACTCACTGCACCAGGGCCTGCTGTTGGCCACCCACTGCTGCTCTCAAGTGCTGTCCCAGCCAGCAGGGCCACCTGCTGCCGCGGGGGCTGAAATGCCACACTCTTACCTCCCTGCCTCCCTGCAGCAGGCCAGAGCGGAGGAGCTTGTCCTCGTCAACGGGACACTCGGGGAAAAGTACAGGGACTTGCAGGAAAGGGTTTTCTCCCTTGTGGAGGCATGAGAGAGGCCCTGGCCTCAGCTGCCTGGTCATACTGACTGCTGGGGACTGACCCAGGGCAAGGTCACAGACCTGGACCACTGTGGGGTGGACCTGGGATGCTCTGCTTCTGGCCCTGAGAGAATGTATTTGAAGCTGGGCCACACTGTGGGAGCACCCCTCACCCAAGGCTCATTCTTCACATGGGAGGACAGTCCCCTCCTGACGGCTCTGCCCCCCACTCACCCAGTGTTCCCCACGATGTCCATGTTCCTGGTGCCTTCTCCTCAGCACATTTATCTCTTTTTCATCACCTTAAAAGCACCACCACCAACAAAGCAGAAGGCCCTCCTGCCCCCAATTTCCACTCCTCAGGAAGGAGGTGAAGAGGCAACTAGAGAGGCCGGTGAAAGGGTGCCTAAGGGACTAGCCACGGGGACGTGGGGCATCGGTGGGGGCAGGTGCTCCTCAGCACACAGACCCCCTTTACAGATGGCACTTATGACCGTGCACTGTGTTGTGTGTGGGTTCACACTCTCTCCCCACGTGTATGGTTACAGCACCTGTGCCCAGACCCAGCCTGTGACCCACAGACCTGGCATCTGCATGCACCCTCCTAGCTGATTTCTGGCAGGTACTGGAGGTGGAGACCCATGTGGCCATGATGTTTCCACTTTCCTGTTCCTCCATGTCACCAAATCACGTTGCAAGGTGTCCCAGGTACCTGCGGGACTCTCAAAATCAGTCCCCTTTCAACTTTCCTGGGGGCCTTGACGATGGTTCTGACAGAGTGAGCTGGGATCTGGTCCTGAGTCTGCAGTGTCAACTGGTCCCAGTTGGTGCTGGTCCATAGCCTACACTTTGAGTAGCCAGGCTCCAATCATTGAATGTTACCACTGGAAGGGAACTCACAGGTCCAGGTCCAATCTCAAGTTTGGAAACATGTTCAGGGTGGTTCAGTAACCGAAGTCTGCCAAACTCTTGAGTGGAAGCATTTCCCTGAAGCTGCTGCCCCCTTGGCCAACCACCCCCCTCGCCACCCAGTGGGGCCTTCGGGGCAGAAACAGGATTTCACCACACACTTGGTCTCCCTGCTGTCCGAGGACAGACCTGCCCTCCGTGATCCTTACCTTGCCTGACTTGGGAGTGAGGTGGCAGGGAGGCTTCCCGTCCCCCAGGTAGGTAAGGTCACCCAGTGAAGTGGCTGGCAAGGGAGGAGGAAATGGGTTTGCCAACTGGAGCTAAAGATGTGGCCCCATGGGAAGGTCCCTGAGCTCCTGACCATCTGGCCAGGCACTTCTTAGTCCCACTTGAATAACGCCCCTGTCCTTTGAGACCGTCCAGATGCCACACTCCTACATGAACTGATGAATGTCTCTTTCATGTATGCATGTGAGTATCTATACCACATCTTGACCCAAGAAGAAAAACGGAAGTGGGGACAAAGAGGAGATGGAATGGAGCTCACTGTGTGCACCCAAGCTACGGCTGGACCACTAACCTGACTCCTGGGTCTATTGAGACCAGGCAGAAAGGACTGGCCCTGTCACCATGTGGTCAGACAGCTCCTTCTCCCCAGCACACTGAACCACTCACACACAGACGGTCCGTGGAGGTTCTGACAGGCTGTACCTTGTGCATAACTCAGTGAGCGGTCAGGGTGGTTGACCCCCAGTGCTGCTGATCTGACTTTTCTCGGGATAGTGTTTAGAATTTCTGGAACTGTGGGCATCACGGTGCCTTTTCAGCCATCTTCCCTAACGTGACATGTCTGCACGAGCTGTTGATGAGTCTCATCTGGTAGAGAGCCAGTCTGTCTCCCTGGGAGATGCCTGAGGGGCAGCTACTGCCAGTGGGCACAGAACCCCCAGCCAGCCTGAAGGTACCAACAGCGGAGACGGATGGCGGGGTGGGGAGTTGGCTGGCCTGCCCTTGTCAGTGAGCTGCTGAAGGGAGCAGAGCTGGCTTCCCGGCGAGGCCCCGCACCCACCCGCGGAGATGGCTTGGGGCGCCTCCCACTGCTGCCCCCACGTGGGGCACGTCCGCTCATGGAGAATGTGAGGTGGCGGGTAACTGGTGAAATGAGCTTGGAGGGGGGTGGGGGGCAATGACAACTGCTGGAGAATGTGATGGTGTGAGCACCTGGCCACAGGTAAAGGATCCTGACAGCGCCCCCCCATCGCTGCCGGGAAGATGCCTGCCCTCAGAGAGAACCGCTCTTACCATTCGTTCGTCCTTACCTGCTGAGAGGTGGCACGGTGACAAGCCTGGGTGGAGGACAGGCTGGAGGTAGCAGCAGCTGACAGTCGTCAGACGAGAGGCTGGCTCAGGGCTCTCGCTGCGAGGCTCTCTCTAAAACCACAACCAGAGATGAGTGATGGGCGCCGCGCAAGCCAGGTGTCCCCCAGATGGCCCGGCTCCCACGGTGCCCTCTGCTCACACTCGGCAGCTGTCTCGGGAAGCCTGGGGACAGTGGTACCAGAGCCCAGGGCAGAAGGTGAGGGAAAGGCAGAAAGGGAGCCCCCAACTGGACACAGCCACAGGCCGCCCCGGGCCTCCCCTGACCTGTGCGCCACACTCCCTCTCACTGTCCCAGCTCTAGCCGGACCTCTGCCAAATGGAAACAGATGTGTTTTTTCTTAGTATGAAAAGATATGTTCACTGTAGAAAAATGTGAAGATGGAGAAAATTAGAGCAAAGACAATAAAGACCCATTACAGCACTTTTTCCCAGAGACAGCTCTGGTTAACATGCCAGTATACTGTTCTTACGTGTTAGGAAGAACCCGACTGCAACCAAAGGACATTTACAAGAGGTGATTCGGTTCAATGGTTTAGTCTCTTTAAAGCTGGAGACACTCCACAGAGAGGCAACAGCCCGGCTCCTGCAGAAAGATGACCTCTGGGTGGGTGGCTGGCCCTGGAGTCCTGTTCAAGGCTTGGCCCACAAGATAGCATTGCAGCCCTGGCTGGTTTGGCTCAGCGGTTAGAGCATCAGCTTGTAGACCAGAGAGTCCTGGGTTCGGTTCCCGCTAAGGGCACGTACCTCAGTTGCAGTTTGTCCCCTGCCCTGGTTGGGGTGGTGTGGGTGGCAACCAGTCGATGTGTCTCTCTCACATCGATGTTTCTGTCTCTCTCTTCCCCCTCCTCTCCCTCCCACTCTATCTGAAGATGAATGCAAAAAATGTCCTTGGGTGAGGATTAAAAAAAAAAAAAAGATGGCATTGCTTTGGTACAAAGCTGAGGACAGTCCTGATGTTCTACACAGTCATTCATTTACGGTCTCTCCTCCCCAGCTTTACGATAACTTGGTTTTGAATTGTCACGAAGATTTCACACACTGAGTGGACATTTGGGGTGTCCCCTGTATAATGGATGTCATGCTGGCTTGAAACAGGGCTCTGACAGGGAGGGAGATGCTAATTCGCCGGACAGTCCTGACCACGGCAGCAGCAGAGGGCACAGACTCTGCACACGCACGCACGGCCGCTCAAAGTGGTATTTCACCCATGTGGCACATGCTGCCCTGTCAGTCGCTCTGGGATGGGAATGGTGGCCAGACCCCAGGGGAGCAGCAGTGAAGCAGGTGCTGTGACGGCAGATCCCTCGCTCCGTGTCTGCAGTGGGGACAGAGTCGCCCAGGTCCCCTCTGCAGGGGAACGGCCATCCCCACTCCAACTTGGACTACTTTGCAAATTAAATGTGGTGCCAGTTGAGCTTGCCACAGCGAGGGGCAGGTCACCGTGCAGAGGAGGTAAGGCAGCTGCAGGTAATGTGGCGGGGCCCGTGGCCTGGGTTCCTGCGGCTGCCATGGCAAATCACCACAAACGTGGTGGCTTAAAACCCGGTATTATTGCTCTGGCTGGTGGCTCAGTTGGCTGAACATCATTCTGAGCACCAAAGAGTCGCCGGTTCGATTCCCAGTCAGGGCACATTTCTGGGTTGTGTGTGTGTGTTGTTTTTAATCCTCACCCAAGGATATTTTTCTATTTATCTTCAGGTAGAGTGGGAAGAAGGGAGAGAGAGAGAGAGAGAAATATTGATGTGAGAGGGACACATCAACTGGGCCGGGGACTGAACTGGAACCAAGGTATATGCCCTTGACCGGAATTGAACCCGCGACTCTTTGGTCCGTGGGCTGATGCTCTAACAGCTGAGCCAAAGTGGCCAGGGTTGGGCTGCATGTTTTACCCGCGGTCAGGGTTTGTGGGAGAGGCAGCCGATCGATGTTTCTCAAATCAGTTTCTCTCACTCTCTCTCCCCCTTCCTCTCTCTAAAAATCAATTTAAACAAACCCAGTATTATTTTTATTCTAATAATTCTGGAGGTTCTACATCCAAAATCAAGATGTCAGCAGGGCCAAGTTCCTTGGCTCAGACGCATCCCTCCAGTTCTGCCTCCACCTCGTCTCTGCTGTGTCCTCTCCTCAGGAGGCCCAGCCACCGCGTGCAGGCCTGGCCTGACCTAGCGCGACTCTCCGGAACGAGGACAGCTGCACAGACCCCATGTCCAGACAAGCACTCTGCTCTGGGGCCACTATTCACCCCCGTATCACCAGGAACCCAACACCATGACTAAAAGACTGCTCATCTCTACAAAGAACACACATTTGTTCTTCTTTGTAGGACCCCGGAGTAACATCTCTCTGAGAATGTGGAGCCTGTTGTCAGGAGAACATCAGTCTACAGCAGTGGTTCTCAACCTCCTAAGGCCGCGACCCTTCAATACAGTTCCTCATGTTGTGGTGACCCCCAACCATAAAATTATTTTTGTTGCTACTTCATAAGTGTAATTTTGCTCTATTATGAATCGCCATTGGAAATATGTGTTTTCCGATGGTCTTAGGCGACCCCTGTGAAAGGGTCGTTCGACCCCCAAAGGGGTCGCAACCCACAGGTTGAGAACCGCTGGTCTACAGAGCTCACGATCCAGACGGGCCCGACTGTGATCTACCTGAACTGTACACATGCAGCGCATGCTGCTAAGTCAGTGCCAGCACAGGTGTAGTGGGCCCTGGGTGAGACTGAGCTCATGCCATTCACCCCGCCCCCAGCCAGGCCCTGTCATCCCATTCGCATGGTTAGTCAGTTATCTTGCTCGGGTCTGGGTGCAGCCCCAAAGTCGGAGCAAAACCACTGCCTGCCGGGAGTCGGGGGGCCCTGCCTCTCCCCTGCGGAGGGTCTCCTGCTTGCACAGCCCCTGCCGCCCATGGCGCTCCTTTCTGATGCGACCTCCAACCCCAGGCCTGTCCGTGTTCTGCTGGGACAGAGCTGTCTCGGCCGATAGACCAGACTGTCCAACTGAGACGAGGTGGTTGCGTCCTCTGGGACCAGCTTCTCGTGACTCCAGCTGCTGGAAACTAGATTTTATCTTTTATCATTTCTTTTAAAAAAAATACATATATATGTATATATATATAAATGCTTGAATTAGGAAGATTATTGAGGTGAAATTGACATAACATAAACGAACCATTGTAAAGGGCACAGCAGCGGCATTCAATATAGTCACAACATTCTGCAAACAGCAGCTCCATCTAGCTCCATTAAGTTTCCACCAATTCAAAACAAAACTCCACCCCTCCACACCAATCTGCTTTCTACCTCTACGGATTTGCTTATTTGGACATTTCATATAAGTGGATTCATGCAACATATGATCTTTTGTGTTTGCTTATTTCATTTAGCATAATGCTTTTGGGGTTCATCCACTTTATAGCATGTATCAATACTTCATTCCTTTTTATGGTTGAATAGTATTGCATTGTATGGGCATACCACACTTTTTAAAATTTGATTTTAGAGAGAGGACATGTGGGAGAGAGAGAGGAATACTGGTGTTAGAGAGAAACATTAATCGGTTGCCTCCTGCATGCGCCCCAACCAGGGATCTAATCCACAACCTTTGGTGTACAGGGTGATGCTCCAACCAACTGAGCCCCACTGGTCAAGGCTCCAATACACTTTTTAAATCCATTCATCTTTTGATGGACACCCTTTGGCTATTGTCAATAGTGCTGCTTTGAACATGCATTTATCTGTATTTATTTGAGTCTCTGTTTTGAAGCACTTTACATTCCCATCAGCAATGTACCAGTTTCAAATATTTCCACACCCTTGCCAACATGTTCTTTTATGTTTTTTTGTGGTTGAAATTTTAGTCACCCTAGTGGGTGTGAAGTGGGACCTCACTGTGGTACTTATTTGCATTTGCTAAATAACTAATGATGTTGAGCGTCTTTTCATATGCTTGTTGTTATTATTTACTTTTTAAAAACTGTCAACATTAAAAAATTTAAATTTTATAACAATCTGATTTATAGAAATGCTGCAAGTACAGTACAAACATTTTCTTCTTGAACCCCCGGAGTGTCGGTGGCCAATCTGACCGCCAGCTGCCCCTGGGTGCTCCGTAAGTCCTGCAAACAAGGACGTTCTCCTATAAACCACAATGCAACCATCAAAGTCAGGGAGTTCGTGTTGACAGTGACTACCCCCGAATCCTCAGACTAAGGTTACCAGTAATGTCCTTTATTGCAAAGGGTTCCAATTCAGAACATGTTGCATGTAGTGCTCATGCCTAGATGTCCCTCATTTTGGGCTTGTTTTATGTTTCCTTGTGATATTTGGGTATTACTCTTGGGCAGGGAGACCAAGGAACATGGACGGTGTTCTCGGTTCCTATCAGCTGGCACAGGGCTTTAATCTGTCCCGCTACTGATGTGCATTTCCACCAGTCCATGAAGGTGGTATCTGCCAACCTTTCCCACTCCAAAGTTATACTTTTGCTTTTGTAATTCTGGGAAGATACTTAGAAACTATGTAAAATTGTTCCTCAAACTTTCAATGTACACTGATTCTTGAACAACACAGGTTTGAACTGCATGGGTCCACTTATAAGCAGAATTTTTTCAATCAATATGCAGTCCACCCTCCATACGCCCAGGTTTCATATCTGCAGAGTCAGCCAGCTGGGGCTTGTAGACAGTATCTCTGTGGTTAAGAATCAGTGGATGGTCCGGCCGGTGTGGTTCAGTGGTTGACGTGGACTCATGCACCAAGAGCAGTATGCTTCTGGTGTTTAAGTCTGTGGCATTGTTTCAGCAGCCCAAGCGGGCTAAGAGCTCCTCACTGCTTGTTAGATGGAAGCCAACTGCTCCAGCCTGGGCCAAGCCAAGGACTGACGCGGCGTTTAGACTCACGAGACTGTGGTGGGGCACACAGTGTTCAGAGGATGAGGACAGAAGCCCCGGCTTGCCAGCGGGGCAGCGTCAGGACGGCTCCGAGGAGTCCCCGAGGTCTTACAGCAGCTGGCAAGCCGAGCCCCACACTGCCAGGT